CCAGAGGTGGGTTCCTACTGGTTCGGTCTGGCTCTCCCGAACCAGTATTGCTGCTTTCAAACAAAGAATGAACCAGTTCTTTGTTTTTGGGCCCACCCCTGGGTTATACTTACCTTTATTCAAGCTCCTGAAGCCCAGCTGATCTGAGCCAGCAGTTTTAATTGCCACTCCTCTGCTGTTTTCCTTTTTTTCTGACCAATTTTCATTCCATTGCCACGCATGCACAGCAAACCGGTAGTAAACCGGTTAGGAACCCACTGCTGGTATAAACTATTTAGTAAATACTAGATTAGGAAAATATAAATATGGAACTCATACTGTAACCTCTTTAGCTATCCAAAATAGTCAGCTTTTTCTTTGCTTGAATGTGGCTTAGATAAATATGTTCAGCAATTACTTTAAATCCCTAATTTAGACATTTAGAAATCTGACCATGTCAGCAAACTCTTCATTGGTGAATTAGCTTGAATATATATTTTGGGGATAAAAAGTAAATCTTATTTTGAACATGGAAAAAGATAAGGATAACTAACCTCAGCTACACTGAGGACATGGGAGAAAAAAGGAGTAGTGGGTCATATTCATGTCATGTTAACCCTGATCCGTATTATAATAAAAGAACAGAAGACTCAAACCTAAATTACACACTTAGCTTAAATTCCTGGCTAACTTGTGAAATTTCTAAATACCTTTGTTCAATGTTTCTTGTCCAATCTGCATACCTACAGAAAATCAAGAAAAAAGTGCATATATCAGTTCTGACAAATATACCTCATCCCATCCCATCAAAAAATGAACTGTTACAAGACAAACCCACTCCTGATTAGCCAAAAACCTTAGTGCGATGCTGCAATTTGCACAATGCTTCCTTGACTTTGGTAGAGAGGAAGCAAAACTGAGGAACTGGCATGGGGACTGAGATGGAAATTCACACCACTGGAAACCATCTACTGTAAACCCTCAACCATATACAGTTGCAAGAAAAAATATGTGAACCCCTTGGGATTACGTGGAGTTTTGCATGAATTGGTCATAAAATNAAGGTAACAGTGTTCCGTGTGCCTTCGGCATTTAGTCATGCAGGCCACATGACCACAGAAACATCTTTGGACAGTACTGGCTCTTCGGCTTTGAAACAGAGATGAGCACCACTGGTTGGAATGACTAGCACATATGTGGGAGGGGAACCTTTACCTTTACCTTAGTTGGAATAGTCCAATAGGATTGAACTAGAAAACCTCCAAGGTCCCTTCCAACTCTATTATTCTGTTATTCTGTTATTCTATGTTACTCATATTGTATCTTCCAGAGATTGGGAGGCATGATTGTTTAAAGATGACCAAATATATCAAACATGTAGTCTATATTGATCGATTTGAGTTTTCTCATAACATCAAATAAGTTGCATATTTAATACTTCTCTAATACCTGAGTATTTTGTTTCACAAAAGTAGATGTGAAAATAAGGCCTGAAATAACTACACCACTTACCATGTGTATTCCTTTATTATTTAGAACAGAATAATTAAATAAAAGCAATCTTATGTCAAATGTATCATTTCCAGAGGGGATTACAATGACTGTCCACTGACAATAGGAAAGTGGTTTTAGATAATATATAGTCCTCTATCTATCTCATGTTACATATTAAGCTAGATATCCCTCTGAATTTGTTTCACAAGCTTATTCCAAACTTCAGTGATTATTTTTGTCCTCCTTTTGAACTCCTGAGCTCATTAGGTAATTTAAATGCACATGAAATTACCAAGAACTCATCATAATATTCAGAGAAGGATAAAATTCCATGGAGAGACAAGCTCATATCTGCTTAATATTCTGAGAGAATGGTTTAGATTATTTCCTATAAGAATTCAGCTATCAAATTTCTCAAGTGTCTGTAAAGTTGATGCCCCAAACACTAGTGTGTAATATACATACTTTTAAAACAAACATCATTAATAAATGTATGTGTGATCAGAGACCAATGCTCCAAACAAACAATGAGGGTGATTATTTAGAAAGCTATTCCAAAACCATTACATCAACTGTTACATGAAACTGTAGTAGCTCTTCCTAACTTTTCAGTTTAACAATTTTCAGGTAGAAATATTGTATTTTCTGTATCAGAACTGCATAAATGATTAACTAAGAGGGACATTAATAAATCAAGGATTTAGGCTTGGATAGATTGGAGAAATTGCAGAATCTAGGGGCATAGTTAGAAGTGGGATCAGCCTAGAATCCAAATGTAGTCATAAACAACTAAATCCAATCTACCTTAAATTCCATTTGATTTTATCTAATCCCAAACAGGTGTTAACCACTACTTGTGAACATTCTTGTGCATAAGCATGATTAGCAATATATCAATTAAATTGGACCTTCATGTGTGATATTTTGTATCTGACAGGTAGGACATGGGAAATTAATTCAGTTGCCACTATAGAAATGGAGAGACATTATACAGGTGAAACTCGAAAAATTAGTGCAAAAGTTCATTTATTTCAGTAATACAACTTAAAAGGTGAAACTAATATATGAGATAGACTCATTACATGCAAAGCAAGATAGTCCAAGCTGTGATTTGTCATAATTGTGATGATTATGGCTTACAGCTCATGAAAACTCCAAATCCGCAATCTCAGAAAATTAGAATATTGTGAAAAGGTGCAATATTCTAGGCTCAAGGTGTCCCACTCTAATCAGCTAATTAATCCATAACACCTGCAAAGGGTTCCTGAGCCTTTAAAGACCAATAAACTGAACTGAGCCTTTAAATGGTCTCTCAGTCTGGTTCAGTAGGAATCACAATCATGGGAAAGACTGCTGACCTGACAGTTGTGCAGAAAACCATCATTAACATCCTCCATAAGGAGGGAAAGCCTCAAAAGGTAATTGCAAACGAAGTTGGATGTTCTCAAAGTGCTGTATCAAAGCACATTAATAGAAAGTGGAAGGGAAAAGTGTGGAAGGAAAAGGTGCACAAGCAGCAGGGATGACTGCAGCCTAGAGAGGATTGTCAGGAAAAGGCCATTCAAAAGTGTTGGGGACTTTCACAAGGAGTGGACTGTGGCTTGAGTCAGTGCACCCACCACACATAGACAGATCCTGGACATGGGCTTCAAATGTCGTATTCCTCTTGTCAAGCTGCTCCTGAACAACAAACGTCAGAAGCCTGGGCAAAAGAAAAACAGACCTGGTCTGTTACTCAGTGGTCCAAAGTCCTCTTTTCTAATGAGAGCAACTTTTGCATCTCATTTGGAAACCAAGGACCCAGAGTATGGAGGAAGAATGGAGAGGCACACACTGGAAGATGCTTGAAGTCCAGTGTGAAGTTTCCACAGTCTGTGTTGATTTGGGGTGCCATATCATCTGCTGGTGTTGGTCCACTGGGCTTCATTAAGTCTAGGGTCAACGCAGCCATCTACCAGGAGATTTTGGAGCGCTTCCTTCCTCAGACGAGCTTTATGGGAATGCTGACTTCATTTTCCAACAGGACTTGGCACCTGCCCACACTGCTAAAAGCACCAAAACCTGGGATTATTGTGCTTGATTGGCCAGAAAACTCACCTGACCTGAACCCCATAGAGAATCTATGGGGCATTGCCAAGAGAAAGATGAGAGACATGAGACCGAACAATGGAGAAGAGCTGAAGGCCGCTATTGAAGCATCTGGTCTTCCATAACACCTCAGCAGTGTCACAGGCTGATAGCTTCCATGTCACACCGCATTGAGGCAGTAATTGCTGTAAAAGGGGCCCAAACCAAGTTCTGAGTACATATGCATGCTTATACTTTTCAGAGGTCCGATATTGTTCTATATACAATCCTTGTTTTATTGATTGCATGTAATATTCTAATTTTCTGAGATTGTGGATTTGGGGTTTCCATGAGCTGTAAGCCATAATCATCACAATTATGACAAATCATGGCTTGAACTATCTTGCTTTGCATGTAATGAGTCTATCTCATATATTAGTTTCACCTTTTAAGTTGCATTACTGAAATAAATGAACTTTTGCATGATATTCTAATTTTTCGAGTTTCACCTGTATTTTAAGAACATATTGTCTCGCTTGTATTTCTCTTCTAGCACTATGGCATATAGAGCATTTTGTCCAGCTAGAAAAACGGCTTTTATGTTGAGGATGGACAATTTATATGTAAGACACTTAGCATGAATGAAGTTCTTCTGAGCAACCTTTATAATAAGGAGAGAAAAATTATTCATTTTTTTTCCTAAGGTCAAAAATATATTGTTATAGTTCCAAATTGGTTCTTTTAAAATCTGATGAAATTAAATAATGGGCAGAGAGGCCCATGGCATTTGAAGTTTTCATCCATCACTAACTTCTAGGAGAATATAGAATGGCCCTCAAGAATTAAGGAGGCCAGAAATCATTCCATAAGACCAATTTTAGCCAAAACTTTAGGTCAGAATCTCAAGCAAGCTTTAGTAGAAATTAACACAATTTCTACTGCAATATTAGAGGCATTGCAGACCACTAATGCTATAAGCATATAGGATGATAAGCAAGTATATCTTCCACTAATTCTCTTGGTGACATTATTACATCCTGCAATAATAACATTGTTACATTAGCTATGAGGTCAGGGCCAAGTTGGCATTGGGATATGCTGCATAATTTGGTTTCTCTATCTGTAATACAGAATCATCATCTTGTTGCTTATTAGTATTTAAAATCTGGTGGGTATTTGTAAGCATGTAGAAAGGCCAAAGTTCTCTGAAAGAAAATCTCAATGCACAGAATAGGATATTAGAACCAATGATAAGTTTGAGTGATTTTATCTGAGAATTTTTTTCCTTAAATTATAATACCTATTAATTAAGTTCAAGACATCAAAAAGGCTACAGAAATAAACAATTACAAAGCAGCGTGATTTATTTCTGCATTTTGGATTGGCTTTCATCGATCTCCTTTTATAGCTCTCCTAATACACTGAAGACTATTAAGTTCAGCTTTTGTCTCTTTTCACAGGCAGAGAATTTGAAGGTGAAGAAGAGTTCCTGGAGATCCTGGGAATAACACGAGAGCAGTCAGGCAAATACGAGTGCAAAGCCGCAAATGAGGTTTCCACAGCTGATGTGAAGCAAGTCCGAGTCACTGTGAATTGTGAGTATTTTTATTTCCACCAAATCAGATGTATTTTAAAGAAAAAGGAAAGTTGAACTTTGTGCATTATAGTGATGACAATCAATGAAAAACTCTTATGACATAGGAAACAACACTTGCAAAGTCCAATGGGGAGTATTAATGAAACAACTATGGAAAATCTCTATTAAAAGGAAAAGTGTTTTGCCAATGAAGGGGGGAAAATGCAAAAAAAAAAAAAGATCAGCAAGAGAATTTAAGAGAAAGCAATTCGCATTTCCTCCTGTAACTCAATGGATACCAGATGAATTAAACACAGAGCAAAGAAAAACCATAAAATAAAGAGCACTCACAGTTATACATTCTGTGCTAACTCTTCAGCAAACTTTTCAAAATGAGAAAAGAGTTATTAAAGAACAGCCCAAACTGGGAGCATCACTGTACATGTTAAATCTACCCCAAAATATGCACTGTATTTTTCAGACTATAAGATGCACTGGAGTATAAGACGCACCAAGATTTTGAAGAGGCAATTTTTTTAAAAAAGGTTTTGCACTCTGCAGA